GCCCTTGCGGCTCGGGAGCCGGGCTGGGTGCGTGCTGACCGAGAGCGCTCCAGACGGACTGCCCCGTCCCCAACACCTGCCAGGCCGGGCGAGGCCCCGGAGAGCGGCTGGGCGCCCCCGGCAGCGGGGCACCCCTCTTCTCTGCCCCCGCGGTCACCGAGCATCGCGTGGGCTGGGAGACCGCTGAGAGCCTGGCGCGGGGGCCGGTGCGGAACACAGCCCGCGTGGGCCCGGCGGCGGACTCGGGCCTGGCCGCACGGCCTGCCCTCGCGGGTGCGGACGTCGCCGGGAGGGCAGCAAGGCGGGCTCCCGCAGCCCGCGGAGACGCCCGGAACGGCCTGCAGGGTGTCTTGGGGAGTCCGGGTCCCTCCACGCGCAGCGCAGGAGCCTGAAGGCAGACAATCGCTGCCTGGTGTCCGTGGTCCCAGGCTGACGTCCCTGGAGGACACCCTCCCCACGCCACTCCCTCCCCTCGGCCACCCTCGCGGCTCCTCCGGCTGTCCCTCCTCACTCAGACCTGACCGCGTCGGCTGCTGAGCTCACCCCTCCTCCGAGCTCTCCTGTAGGTCCTGGGCACTGGCTTCCTGGCGCGAGGATCCGGGCTGTGCCCTGCCTGCGGCCTTGCCCCTCGCGTGAATTCCCCACCCGAGACACAGGCCCCGCACTCAGCAACTCTGCTGTCGTGGGGTCAAATCCCCGCGTTTGCTTACTTTGTCTGAGTTACTTGTTCACCGACATCAGTTTTATTCCGCGTGTACCCGTAGGTTTCACGAGGGCAGGCGGGGTTCCTGGAGGGAGCCGTGTCCCCAGCGGCGCTCGTGGGTTTGTAACACAGTGAAGCCGTGAAGATTCTGTAGCACTACAGACCTCAGAAGGACCACAGGCACCCGCGTTCATAAAACCCAGCACATCTAACTTCCGAGACACCGACTCCGGGGCGGGGGAGGCCTCTGCCCCCAGCTCTCTCTAGCTGCCTAGCGCTCAGGAAGCTTCCTGTCGTGAGGAGCAGTGTCACAGGGAGGCTGTGAGGACAGACTGGGTGGGGACAGACGTCAGGACAGTCGTGCGGGAGGCTGCTGTAAGAGTCTGGGAAGAATGGGTGGGGATAGAGTCTCCCTCTTGGAAGAGTAGAACTTTATCTGCAGGACTTTAAGTTAGTGTCCTCATCCGCAAATGTCAGGGAGAGGCTTCCTCAGCTGCCCTGGGCCCGGATGTCCCTCGGTGAGGTCACACCGGGGAGGTGTGCGGTCCCTGGTGGGTCAGCGAGGGCGGAACGTGGGAGGCACGCAGGGCAGGGCAGGGGCGAGGCCGCCTCTGCGGAGTTAGGGCTTCCTTGCAGAGTCTGGGAGAGGCGTTCATCCCATCAAGTGTCAGCCCACAGGAAGGTCCCAGATACATCAGTGGCACAAACAGAACACCTGAAGGCCCAGGCCAGAAAGGGCGCAGGACTCTGGGTTCAGCCTGTGGATCAGGAGCTGCAGCACAGAGCGATGGTGGTCGTGGGTGAGGCCATAGGGCACACCTGCCGTGCGGGACAGTGAGGCGTCCTGCCCCGGGGCGGAGAGCAGCGCTCTGGCACAGAGTCAGCACTGAGGAGAAGAGAACCCCACTCTCAGGGAGCCTCGCCAGGGCCACATGGGGCGCACACTTGCTTGAGACCCCTAATGGTGCTTATGGCCTTACACCAGTTCTGTACACACAGGATGAGCTCAGGGTTTGCCACAACCAAGAGTGCCCCAGGTGTGGTTCCCCAGGCACAGATGGTACAAACCATTCCGCTCCACCAATAAGCAAGGAGGTTTCCTTTGCGTACCCTCTAGGGCTGGTAGGAGAGCAGGCTATTTTACTTGGTCGTATCTTAGAGACAGGATCTCGCAGATGAGCGGGGGTGAGGTTTGGAGCCCTACTCTCAGTCCTACGGTGTCCAGAGGACCCAGGCTTCTGACAGCCATGCATGCTCTTCTCCTCTGCCTCCACCTCCTGGTAAATCTCCCTGAATCCCAACTTGCTGGTGCCAGTGGCAAAGCTGGCAGCGCCTTGCCCCAGCCATGGCTGGCTCCTGCTGTGCTTCCTCTCCCCGTGGAAATGGCTGGGTGTCTCCACGTGCCGTGTGGCCAGGGGTGGCCCCTGAGGAATCACAGGAGCGTGTACAGCAAGGGGCATGACTCAGCCTCC